GCTTCTTCTTCCGTCCCTTCTTGACAGCTTTGATTCCGTTTGCTAGATGACTGTGGCGCTTGCTTTGACCTTGAGTCTGCCTTCCTCTGAGAGAATCCTTTAGGTCCAGTGTCTGTGACAAAGTACTACTGAAAACTTAGCTGAATTTCCAGTCACTGGAACCATCTTTGTTTTAGAAGTCAGAAACTCCATTTTAAAACAATTCAACAATTCAATTTTCCCTAGAATTTCCCTGGTGAGATTTGTAAGGTGGCACCATATTGTTACTCACCTTCATGCCTTCATGATGTTTGTAGTTTTTCTTTGGGATTTGAACTTACAGCCAATGTAATAAGCGTCAATCCTGAATTTTTGTTTTTCATTTATTTAGTATTCTGGTGATCCTTCCAGAATGGTGAAGATGATGATGATGATGATCTTCTCTGTTCGCCATTGAAAGTTGAATGTGGAAATTTCAAAACTCTTCTTTTAAACCAGCTTTAAACTGAAGGCTTACAAAAGTCAAAAAAAACAACTAGACTTGTGCTTTCACTTATGTTGGACCATGTTTCATTGCTTCATTATTTGTTTTTAAAGGGGCTTTTCTTAGGATAAAGAGGGAAGGTGTCCTCTCTTTAGCAAACTTGGAATGCTTACAATTGTCTGGATATTTTTTTTTTTACCAAACCTTTGTGAGAGGACAGTTTATTTAAGAAGCTCATGTAAAGACAAAAATTATGTTTATGAAAGGCATTTTTCAAGATGGCCTTGTAGTAGGTGGTCTTTGCGGAGGCTTTCTAACTCTTTGCACATTCGTAGCAAGAATTATGACAGAATAACAGAATAATATGGACAAGATCATGGGAGCAGTCAAACAGATGCCATCCATGTTAAACTGTTGGGGAGATGCTGTGAGGAAATGAAGTCTAAAAAAGAAAAGAATTGGGAGGAAAAAAGAGGGAAAGAGACCTTGGTGAGGGAGGAAAAAAGAGGGAAAGAGACCTTCGTTAGCGTAGAAGAAGATTGTCCACTGCAAAAAAATGTCTTGTTGACGCTTCTTCAGTGAGCCTGACTCCTCAGAGGAAATAGCTTGTAGAGAAAACTGTCTATGCAATCTCCCCTAGTCAGGAAGAGGGCTGCTTTTTTCTAATATTATTTTATGCGTAATATACATTTGTAAAAATAGATTTTATGTTTTAGGACAACATACAGAACTGCAACAAAAGCTTGTAATTACGTGGTTGTGTTGTTTGATGAAATGAAAAAGTAATTGGTGGAGGTTTTTTTTTAGCTTTGCTTTAAATATTTTTAAACAAATTTAGAAACTTGCTTTTGGGACACAGTAGTAGTACACTGGCTAGGCTTCCCAATAGGCAGTTCAGTCATTTTGGCTATTGACATGTTTTTCATAAGGAGAAGAAATATTCTAAATGAATTGAAGGCTCCCCTGCGTTTGTTTGATATTTATAATAATGACATATTCCAAAGATTTCCTTTACTTACTCTTTGAAATAAATGAAAGCAATTGCTGTTTGAAAATAATAGTAATAATAATAATAATAATGGTAATAATAATAATAATAGAACGTCTCAGTGCTATAGTGCTTTTGTAGTGTGTTGAGATTTACTGTGGTATTCTCATTCCAGTGAGGTATTTTAAAGCAATTCTGCAGTAAGCATGGACTTTGGAAGAAATATTAGATCTCAGGAGGCTCAGCATTTTTATTACATTTATTTAGCTCATCGTGAAGGGGGATCTAGTGCCAATTTCTGAAATCCAGAACAATATGTTGTAATATTACTTTTGAGTTTTGGTATTGAAACAAGCCAATTACCTGTGTGCTTAGGTATTTTGAAAGAGATAATAGCTGCAATGCAAGGGAACTATAATGTTTTGGGGGGAGGGGAGTCAACCAAATAATACCACAGTAACTCCTATTTTACTTGTTTTCCTCGAGGTTCCTTCCTCTGCATGTTACTCGAAGTTCCTGGAGATGGCTTTTTTACATCTCTATTACTGATTATTATTCTATGTAAATCTTTACCAAAAAAATTGTTCAAAAGTAAAATAGATGCTTTATGTTGATCTACTGGTATCTAGACAGATGCTGCTTCCTGCAGAAGGTGATTAGGTGTGCATGTGAGGACACAGCACCACTGTTCCTTTGCTGCTGTTGTATATCTTCAAACTCTGCTGAGAATCTGTGAGAAAAGCTCAGAAAACTACATAGGTAAGATTATGAGGAATAGATGGAGTTTGTTCTCCTCCCTCTTTATAAAATTAGACACTTTATTCTTCTCTAGCATCCTCTTTGCACAGGACTCCAGAAGAAACTTCAAATGCAGAAAGTTCTGAGCTTCTGTGCATGTGCATCTTGTATAGGAAGAAATAAGACAGGAGGAATGTTGACAGAAGATGGGGTCTTGAATTTTCACCTGTGGCAAGGAAGTGGATCAATAGTAGCGTAGATGGGCTACTTGGATAAGGCAACTTGGAGCAGGGAACGGGGAGGTAAAGAAGAGGAATTACCAAGGTGTCTGGATTTGAAAGGAGAATGGAATAGTACCACCCCTCTCCCTCCCTGCTTTAACTTATGGATAAAAAGTCAGAGGGAGAATCAACAGGATAGGGGCAGGAAGCAGTTTATCTGCAAGACTAGAACCTGGCCTCAGTTTTGAAGTGAGGCAGAGACTGTCTCTGTGCGAGGAGGGCGAAAAGCCAGTGCTGGGAAAGAAATAGGAGTAGGGCACAAGCACGGAGCACAGCTTTCTCTTCCGTAGCTGGATAAGACTGTCAACTGATCTCTTTGTAATCTGCTGATACAGTCCTCTCCTTCAGTGCTGTTCTACCCACAATGTTATAAACTGCATGTGTTGACTACTGGCTTCCCTAGTCTCATGTTGGATTCATGTAAAATGAATTTCCAGTGTTCTACATATAAGACAATAAGTTATACAGTACTGTATAACTTAATTCCTTTGTCATCCATTTGTTGTTTGCAAAAAACCAGAGGAACTAATGCTTTATTAAACACATAATGTAGTTTGTAATGTTATGAAGGCAACCAGTCAAGAAATATGAGGTTTGCTACTTGAAAATAGAAAACCAAACCAGCCCTACATCGTGTATGTTATCATGGGCTCTTACCAGACTTCCTTGGTGTTACTGGACCTGGCTGACATACTGCAACTTACGACGTTCTTGCTTGTTTCACATGACTTTGCGTATCCTTTTAATTGCACACTTCCAAGGTAGTCTTAAAAGTTCTCTGAAGGTATTAATAGTTCTGTTATGTTCAGAATATCTAGATGCCTTTTCTATATTGATGAATTTGTCTTCAAAAATAGGTTTGAGCATGAAAGCACTCTTATTGTAAATATGTGAAACTGAAAAACCCATTTCAGATCAGATGTAATTATAGAATTGAGGTCGTTATTTAGGACCTCAGTATTTCAGATCATTGTGCAGTATTCCCTGTATTCAGAGTGCATTTCACACTGACTTCAGGTGTGGCTGTGGATTCTGAAGTTGCATCAGAAAAAAATGTACAGTTTTGTTATAAGTGACCTGTGATGCACCCATGGTATAGACAGACAGAGACAGGATACTGTTCTGGTGACATTACTTGATTACTTTCACCGTGAGATCCTCCTTCTGATTCCTGCCTTTTCAATTTCCATCTTCATTTTCAGTGTGCATTCCAATTTTGGAATGTGAAGAAAGAAACCAGTCTGGGGGAGCTTCTTTGATTCACACGTCAGATCTAGCTAGTAACACTGAAAAATTTGGGGAGGTTGTATAGAAGCATGGTGTATGTTGGTACAGTTAATTTTTTTTTTATATGCAGAAACAGCTGAAACAAATATGTCTTACTCAATTCTAGTATTTGCTGACTGTGGATGCTTGGAAACTGCAACTGTGCTGCAGTTTATTGTTAGGGATTATTTACAGAGTTTCTAGGTTTCATGGAATTGACCGTTTGCAGGTAAAAATAGAAAATACATCTCGATTCAAAATAACGATAAGAGAAGCCTTTTGAGGCTTGGCTTATATTCCACTTTTTTACCAACCTGAACTTTTAAAATTGTTTACACTAACGTGTTCTATATGTGTAACTGGAGTTTTGGAATACTGATGGTATTTGGTAAGTGTTGTAAAAATGGAGAAGTTAGTGAAAGCTAACATGCTTCAGATTATACTCATCAACTTCTTATGGCTGCTTTATAGCTGCAGAGCTGCACAAAGGAAGCTGCTAATAAGCTGTAGGAATTTGTGATGAATTGCATGGTAAACTAAATGTAGGCAGAATAACGTGTTCCATATTGGTGTTTGTATGACAGGGCCAATTAAACTGGTTTGAGTTGACTCCTAATTTCAGGTGCAAAGGAATAGTCTTCTGGAAATGGTTTTTCAGTGATTTTATGTACATTTTTGTTGACCTGTTGGGATATTACTTGTTTTGTTGGTGATCTGTGCTAGTGTAATGTCTGTAAGTCATGTTTTAATTTTCTCAGTTTATGTAAATGTTGATGCTTTATGCAAATAAGTGCTGGGGACTTCTTCACATGGAACTGTCTAGGCCAGTATGTCTAATTTTGATGGAGAAATTATCCAAATAGTCTATTACTTAGCTTATCTTAGCAATTCTAATCTTTTTAAGGAATATAATACTTTCAAATAGAGATTTGAATAGATTCATTTGAATTCTGACATAAGTTATTTGGAGTGTGTATAGAGTTTCATTAAGAATTTTGAAATGTTTCATATTTTTCTGAATATACTTTTTCTTTGTAGTTCAGAACCAGAGCTGTATTTAATTTATATAAAAGGAAATGCAAAGAGGGTGTAGTTATTTTTATTGTTTTATAACTATGTGGCAGAAAAAGGCTTTGAGAGTGGTGTTCCATATTCACATTTATGTTTCTCTACCATTTTAGAAGAAGAGATTGAAAAGTTTTTAATAACTTTTTTTACGTAATATAACTATTGGGTTTTTAATTTATTATTTCTTGCTGAACAGATAAAACCAGCTCAGATTTCAGTAACTGAATAGACATCATGTCTCGAGCACGGCAGCCCCCACTTGTAACTGGCATCTCTCCCAATGAAGGCATCTCATGGACAAAAGTGACAATAAGAGGAGAAAATTTGGGGACTGGGCCTACAGACCTCATAGGTGAGTTGAAAAGAAACCTCCTGATACTGAAGAATGTAACATTTTGGATATGATTAAAGATAGGTTTTTTTGCATGGTAGAATCTGTATTGGATGGTAGGAGAATGTCCTTTACACAAATATGTGCTTGAATCCAGAAATTCAAGGGTGCTGCCCAGTGTGTAAGTAATCAGACTTGCTAGATGAACCTTTAACCTGACTCAACATCCTGTTCTGAGCATGAACACTGAGAGTGAATGCTTATTGGAGTGTACTAGAAGAGGGTGGATGTAATGAGATGGACCTTTGTTACTTTCCCAGGCATTGAGAATCTCTAAATGAAGACTTTCCTACCAGAAGTGTTTTCAATATATTGAGAAAGTCACTGTAGGGTTGCTATTCCTTGAATTAGTGTAAAGTCAGTTTGTGCATCTGCAACAGATATGACAAAGCAATTCAGTGGTTTAGCTACACATTATTTGAAGAACCATTTCCATTGCTGTTTTGATTTTAACATGTTAACTTCATTATTGCAAGAGGGAGCAAGATGTTTTCTCTATTTCTCCTGGTCATATAGAGTTTGTTCATTACTGCTCTATTACCTCATTTCCAGCTGAAACATCTTGACTTATTTAAATTTTCTGCATGTATCTTTGGCCCTTCTTGTTGCTCTTTGGTGAATCTCTCTTGGTTTCAATACCATCATCTTGGGTACATGATGTGTTCAGGATATGAAGGCACTGTGGCATAACACTGTACTTTCACTTTTGTTTTGTATTTCTTTCGTAGGCTTCTGTTTTCCATATAACTTCCACTAAGTATCAAACTAATGTTTTTTGTTGTTCTGCCTACTATAGTTCCATGATTTAATGCTTGAGGGTTAGAAGTCAATTTGAGCCTGTCATCTGTGAATTTAAGGTTTTGCCTGTGTGCATCATGTCTTTGTTTATTGAATTTTAGCTGTTGTATAGCATCTACATTATAGTGCATCCACTCAGTCTCATAAGTTCTGTTCCAGGTTTTTTTTGGTAATATCATCAGCAAACTTTATAACCTTTTTATCTTGTAATTTATGAATATAGTGAACATAAGTGATCCCAGCATATATCCTGTGGAAACTTTTCTCAGTCAAAACACACCCTTTACCATAACCCTGTGTCTGTCTTAATGAGCTGTTTACCCATTTGAAGTTCATATCCTTAATTTTCATAAGCCTTTCAAGAAGGACTTTGTAAAATCTTCTTGAAATCCAAATTAACTATAACTACTGGAATTTTCCCTATTTCTTTTGTAAGTTATGCATATGTGTACTTTAGTAGTCATGTTAAAGACAATTTGTCTAATTTGTTGTGAAATCGTGACTCCTCTGAAGTCCACTGGAATTTTGTTTGGCTTTGCTAGAAAAAATATTTTGTTTCATGACTGTAAATGAAGATTCACAAATTCCATTCATGGCCACTACAATGAGCTTTATGGCCAAGCATAAGCTACTACAGTTTTCCACTTCAGTTTGCTGTCTCTCAAAAAAGGAAGTAGTATTTTCCTGAGCTGCTAGATGAAGTTGCGGTACACTAATGATTCTTTATTGAGAAATCTTCAAATAACTGATGATGTTTGAGGTGAGTATATTTCTTGTTTATTTGTGTATTTCTTGTGTATTCAGTAACCTCATTGTTGTGATCCTCTAGAAATTATCAGTGCTAGGTTCTTGGAAGGAGGACGTCTCCTGAACAGTATTACAGCTGATCAACTTCTTATATTTCCTGTATTTCCTTCAGAGTAACGATAGGAACACATACTTGCTAATAATTTTATGCTTTGAGGTAAAAATGGATTGCCTTATTTTTTTCACTAGCTCAATTGTCAGCTTTCTCCAGTAAGTGACTAAGGTCCAAGACATGTAAAGATTTCTTTTAATGGTTAAATTAAGCATGTGAATATTCCCTGTAAGTTGAGTGGAAATACTTGCAAAAGTGAGGCTTTGTAGGCATGAGAGTTAGCAGAGTTTGAGTGAGATTTTTATAAAGTTTATAAAGTTTGAGATGCGTTAGAGTAAAATGAAAAGCAAGAAACTTTTTTTCTATATATAAATAGAGTATCTCATATTAGAAGAACATGTTTTTTGTTTCATTTAAGAGAATGCCTTCTAGTAATCTCTTTGTATTTTTGAAACCAAATAAACTTTTTATTTGTGACTCTATAGGTCATGGTACAAAAAATAAAATCCAAGAGATTGCTGTAACATTCGTGTTTTCAAGGTTTAGTTTGTCTTTTAAGACTTTGCAGCTGTGTTTTGCAGGCATTGTAAAATTGTCCATATATAAGCTTAACCAAAATTGGAAAGTGTCAATAAGAGAATTACTTATGCCCATTTATTGAAAGGCATGTGAAAGCTAGAACCCAAGTACGATGTTCTCAAAGGTGTTTGTACCATGCAACAGGTTCAAATTAAGTTTTATTTAAAGGGAAGTTTTTTCTTTTTGGAGAAAGAAATGTCATACCTGTACTATCAAAACTTCTCCCCCAATATCTCTTTATTTGCTCTAGAAATTGTGCCATTACTATATTTAGTATGGTATATAAAATGTTAATAGAGACTTAACTTTCTGTTGCATTTTTTAGGTACAGGTGAATGTTTCCTGCCATTTCAGAAGTGTTGGATCTTGCTGTCTTGTTCTCTTGAGAGCTTTTGGAACTTCCAATGAATAGAAAATAATTGATTCAAGGATCTTCTAAGCAGCTGATCAAAAATTTGCTGTAGCTTAGTTCTTGATTTACTTAATCTAAGCATGACTTCAGACCTTTGAAATTCTAGGGTGAAAACCTCTTTATGAATGGTTTGGGCAAAGTCTTCTAGTTAGTCTTGTTCCCTACCACAATCTTTTTGCCTTTAGAGAAGATACTAGCATAAAACCAGAAAAGATCTAATAATATAACACAAAGTTCAAACCCATGCATCATAAATATATGGTTTTTTCCTTCCCCTGTGAAAACTGAAACCTGACTGGTTAAAATTTTGCAAATAAACAACCAAAATATTTTTTCATGTTAAGGCTTCTTTTTGTGTATCTGTATCTGATTTCGCATCACTCCCCCCACTTTATTCAGGCATCTTTTAAGTAACAAATCTGCTGTCCTTGCTCAAGTAAAATTAATTTCAGTTGTAATAAGATTCAATGCCTTTTGGGTTTTTATTTTTTGGATTTCACTTTCAAAATAGTTTTTGGCAGTGAATAAGACATTTTTATGTCTGACAACCATGAAAACTGCCAAATTTGTCTGCTGTGTCATGTCAGAGGCTTAAGTTGTGAGAAAAAGTAAGTGTGAAGCTTTGGTACTGAGCCACATGTGCTGACCCTTTTCTGTCTCTAAGTATTTTTTAAATTGGTCAGAGCTTTCTAGAAATTAAAAACAAAACCCAAGCCAACAGGGAGGAACTGCTGTGCTTGACTAATTTGTACTCCAGTGCAGCCAACACTCTAGTACAGCCTTGAGCTTTTGGACATAAGGCAAAATGTTCCTAGGTAGGGGTGTTTGTTATTTAAGATGAACTTAATGAAGGTGTTCTCCAAATCAGTACTATAGAAATTAGAATCTTGCCGGTTTTTCAGGACAGCAAAACTCCAGTTAGGAATATGGAAATTGTTGTTCTAGATCTCAGAAAATGATCAGTCTATTTCAGCAAACAGAGTCCTGATCTGACCAGAACCAGTCAGATTGATTGGTTGGATTGACCAGACTGATTTGACATAAAATCTCAGGAAACCTTGGATCTTATATTAAGGTGTACCTTGACTTTTAAGTGTTTAAGAGGTGTTTTTAAACACTAAAACTTGATAAGTTTTAGTATACCACAGTCTCTACCTATGAGAAAAGACTTTCATGTATTTCATAGTTTGTCATTTTTGGTTCTGTTGTGAGAGAGTATAGAAGAGGGAATAGATGAATACTACCCAATTATTCTGTCATATAACCAGGGCAGTTTATTCATCAGAATCAGTCTTGCATCATGGATTTTGTACAGAAGAGATAGGGGCAGAATATTTGTCAGTACTACTTTGACCAAAGAATCATTCTGTGTCCACAAAAGTACTATTAAATAAGTAAGGCTGAAGAAACATTGTTCATTGTGAATATGTTGCAGTGTCTTTTTTCTTTTTTTTTTTTTTTTTTGCAAAGTCCTGTAGACTGAACTTATGAAACATTTGTTGCAAGCAGTTCTGATGGAAGTTTCACAGAAACACAATACTGAACCACAGTTCTCTAGTGTCTTGCAAACAGAAAAATCTATTGTACTATAGGAAGTAAAAGTCACAATAACCCACAACTGGTAGAAGAGATTGAAATAAGTTCCAAGGAGTGCTGCGTGTGTCTCATAAAGTGTCACTGGGACAAAAGACCTGAAGTCATCTAGGGAACATCTGAAAAATTTATTTGTGACACCTTGACTGTAATTGAGTGTAGGGGGCTGGTGAAGAGTCATATATTTATGTAAATACATGAAGCATCATAAATGTATTTGCATTACAGAATTTCAAAAGACACTTCTATTCACAGTAGAGTATTTCTTTTTTTTTCTTTTTCCTAGGTTTAACAATCTGTGGACACAACTGTCTGCTAACTGCTGAATGGATGTCTGCCAGTAAAATTGTGTGTCGAGTTGGACAGGCTAAAAATGACAAGGGAGACATTATTGTTACTACAAAGTCTGGTGGCAAAGGAACTTCAACTGTTTCCTTCAAACTGCTTAAACCTGAGAAAATAGGTATATTTCTTGTTCAAATCCACATCTATTTTCTTTGCTAAACAAATATATGACTGTCTCTATATAAAATGTGTGTTTGAAATGGATCCGCCTCAGGATGATTTTCTGTTGTCTAGAAAACAGAGTATATCAATAAAATGTCCAAATATATGTAGAGATAAAGTCATGGTATATGTAAATTAATCCTTTCTCAAAATCCTGATAAAACCCTCAATGATAAACCTCCTGATAAAACCCTTCATTTTCCTGCAATGAGTAGCACTAAACTTCTAAATTTTAAAAAATTTAATGACAAATCCAGTAATTACTCTTAAGTAGTGTACTAGATACATTCAAAATATAAACCAGCTCATGAACTTTACACCTAAATCCTGAGCTGACAGTTAATCATTTAAAGAAAGTTGAGTCATCAGTGCCGTTTCTTATTTGTAATTCAAACCATCCTGCAAGACGGAAAGTCTTAAGTATTTTTCCTGAGATGCTTAACCACTGAAATGGTGTTGCCAAGCAGTCTAGGACCTCTACTTAATCTAGAATCCAGTCTAAATACCCTCTGGATTGGAAATGTTTCTTTCAGGACCCCTCATTGATGAAGTTGGATAGTTATCTTTTCTAAGGCAGGAGTTCCCACAAGAATTATTTTAGGCTTTTGTTCTCAGTAGTTTAGTGACAAATAACACATAATTTCTCCCAAGCTGCACTAAGATCTTAATAATAGAAAGGTGAATCAAGTGCAAATGTTACACAATGAAGCTTTTGGTGATGGGAGAGGAGAATTTATATTTTAAAAAACAGGTAAGTGTGGGGATTGAGTTAATTTCTGCTGTTGAGTATATGATGCGTATGTTAAAGGAGGGCAAGGCCAAGAGTATGACTGGCTTCATTTTCAGCTGAGGTCCAAGACCTCTTGTGCCTCACCTTTATGCTTTGTCTGTGCTAAGGCTTTGGAAACAAAGTCAGTTCTGTGTCCTTTGAGTCATCTATCTTGACCTGTGGCCAAAGTTCACTTGCATACTCACCTTTTGGATAATGCATGGCACCAAAACCCTAAAGTATGCAAATAAGAAGACTTCCAGATAAGAGATGGTTTTGAAAGTAGTAAATGACAAGGTTTGAACAGACACCAAAAGACCTGCAGAAATGAAAATACTAATAACTGTGATCAGGAAAATGCTCCTGTGCAGTCTGCAAGAGGATAATGTGTTTGATGCTCAGCCATGAATACCTTTTCAGCAGCTGTAATAAAATAATTTAGCATAATTGCATCCAGGTTGTTTTGCCATGTATCTTCCAATATATTACCTAGGCATGCATTTTATATTTATCAGGATTTTTGAAATTAATTCAGTATGTTAGAGGTTGATGGTGCTGGACCGCCCTTGTTGTTTTAAGGATCTGCACTTTGTTTTCTCTAGGTATCTTGGATCAGTCTGCTGTCTGGGTGGATGAAATGAACTATTATGACATGCGCACTGACAGGAACAAAGGGATTCCCCCCTTGTCCCTACGTCCAGCTAATCCTCTTGGTATTGAGATAGACAAGTGAGTACCAAATACCTTTAATCCACTTTTTTAGTGGTTTTCTCTATATGTGCCTTTGTGAATTCCAGAAAAGTTTAATGCTTTACAGGGCAGGGAAAGGTTTAAAAATGCATACATCTATTAGCTGTTGGTATGCTGTTTTGAACTGAAAGGAGTTGTTAGTGCACACAGTATCCTGCTTCATAATCCTCTATTTTGAATCATCAATTAGAGCTGTAGATAATCTAAAAGACTGATATACTGAACCCCAGTGATGTTTAGATTTTAAGGATTGGTAAATAACCCGAGGCTTCAGATTTATACATTGTAGTTATGGCATACCTACTGTTGCATTTGAGTTTCACGGGGCTTTTAAGGATGTTTAGATTGCTATCTGTTGCTAAAATTGTACTGTAAAATGTGATTTATTATGCTACATCAGCTAGTTTATTTTACTGTAATATTAATACTGTTTTCCAACCCACAGTCTTCTTTACTTTTGTTCTTAAGTATGGTGGAATTTATGTCATTTGTGTTCTAAAATAGAAACTTTATATTGAATGAAAATGGAATTAGGGGGGGTTAAATGGGACACTCTTAGGGTTCCAAATATGTCTGACTCCTAGAAATAGCATTAGGAATAATATTTCTTTTGATCAAGATACCAGCTCTACCAAAACCACAGGTTATTTTAAAGTAAACTATTACTAAGGTCTCATCTGCAGAATACTCTGTTTGTGGGCGGTAGTGTGTTGAAGAAAATCTGCAGTGTCCGTTGTTACCTTGTTCTGATGGGAAAGCTGCACTTTGCCAAAATCTCAATGTGATTTCCAGTGGACCCATCTTTACCTTCCAACCTCTGGCTTTGCATTTCTCTTCTAGTTTGAATATGTATTTTTCTTTCTTTTCAAACTACTAACCCACTTTTTTTCAACAAGCTGAAGATTTTGTCTCTTTCTTACTATTTTTCTCTAGCCTCTGATATAACTTAGGGATTTGTTTCATATTCTTCAGTTTTCCAAACTCTGATAAAATATGGACCTTAGGACTGTGGACAATATTCCGACATCTTACTAGAAGATTTCCTGTCACTCCTTAACTCTCCCTACCTTGTCTGTAAATTAAAAACCCCATAATAATACTTTTTTACCGCAATGCTGCACTGGCAATAAGCAGTGAGTGGTTTGTTAGCTGATGCTCTTGAGTTGCTGCTTTTGCTGTTGGTACGTTTGCTCATTGTTCTGTAACAACTCTCTGGAATCCTTTATTCTAGCTTTATCTTCTTGCATTTGACCATATTCTTCTGTTTGTTGCTTCCTTGACAAGTCTGTCTTCTCAGTCCAGATGACAGTCTTTCTTCCTAATGTTTTTACCAAATATTTATAAAAAATTATTGGTGATAAATCTGTTAAATCCTGTTAAAAAGGTGATGTGGGCCTTAGTGAAACTTTACCTACAAATGTTCTCAGATTTGCTTCTCCATGGATTTGTTTAGTTTTTGGGGGTTTTTTTGTAGTTAGTTCCTTAATCCATGTGATGTATTCTGTTGCATATAAGTAAGTTTTAATCAATCTTATAGTAGCAAGTCTCCTTTAAAATGATGATATATTAATTTTGTCAGGTTACTTTCTCAATGAAGCGCTTAATCTCAAAACTCATATAATATATTCTCAAACATTGTCAGAAGCAGTTGTGACTGGCTGACATGAAAACTATTTTTCTCTACTTTAATCCTATACTCCTCAAACAACATCTTTTTCAATATTTTATCTGGGATTTAAGTCAAGATAACTTGTTCTTTTAATTGGGAGTGACTGGGATTTCAGTGTACAAAAGGTTTGAACTGTGAATTAAGGGAAATAGATAATAAGGGATCTAACAAGTTTTATTAATAATTACAAAACTGCCTCGAGGTATGTTGTAGGAGTAACATGTTTGCTCAAAATATGCACTGGAATTCTCTTTTTGTATTCAAATGTTGCAAGGATGCAAAGAAAGAACTATGGATATAGACTCATCCTCCTGACTTTTTTTTACATACTCAAGATATTTTAAACATTATATGTACACACAGTGTGCAGGCCATCATCTTTCAGCCTGCAGGTTTGACAAGTTGTAAGTATACATAATTTCTGTCTGATAATTTCTTCATATTTTCCAAAACTTAATTGCAGTTCTTGTGTCATGCAACTAAGAATTTCACTTGCTAAATAAAAAAATAATTTAAATCGTAATGCAATGTGAACTTGCTGATTATTAAAGTCACAAATGTATTTGTAAAAGAGCGTTCACAAGCATTTGTTCTCCTGCCTTCCTAGCAGTTGTTCATTCATCTTTTAAACACAGAACTGATCCAATCAGATAAGGGGTTTTTGGCATTGCTGTAACTTAGTGCCTGTTGTGTGTGTGCTATGAGGTATTTATTTCCCACCAAAAGATAGGTATTTAAAATATTTAATCTTTGAGTTCTGTTTTTTTAATTTACAGAATGAGAGAAAAGACTCATACAAAACTTTAGTGTTCTATCCCCATCTTTACGCTCACTTTAAGTGCAATGCAGGACTGTGCCACATTTCTCTTCCAGAAACCCTTAAACAACCATAGAATCACAGTTGGAAAAATCTCCAGTGTCATGGAGTCCAGCCTTTGATTGATCACTGTCTCATCAACCGAACCATTTCACTAAGTTCCGTGTCCAATTGTTTTTTGCACACTTCCAGTGTTCAAGACTTCCACCACCTTCCTAAGCAGTCCATTCCAATGCCTGATCACCCTTTCAGTGAAGAAATTTTTCCCAATGTCCAACCTGAACCTCCCCTGGGGCAGCTTGACACCATTTCCTCTTGTCCTATCACTAGTTTCCTGGGAAAAGAGGCCGACCTCTGCCTCAGTACAACCTCCTTTCAGGTAGTTGTAGAGAGTGATAAGGTCTCCCCTAAGTCTTTCCTCCAGCTGAACAACCCCAACTCCTTTGTCTGCTTCTCCTATGACTTGCTCTCCAGACCCTTCACCAGCTTCATTACCCTTCTCTGGACATGCATCTTTTAAAACACATCTCAATGTCTTTCTTGTAGTTAGGAGCCCAAAACTGAACACAGTACTTGGGGCGTGGCCTCACCAGTGCCGAGTACAGAGGGACAATCACTTCCCTGATCCTGCTGGCCACACAGTTTCTGATACAGGCCATGATGCCATTGGCCTTCTTGGCCACCTGGGCACTCTGCTGGCTCATGTTCAGCAGCTGTCGACCAACATCCCTAAGTCCTCTTCTGCCAGGCAGCTTTCCACCCGGTCTTCCCCACATCTGTAACATTGCATGGGATAGTTGTGACTCAAGTGCAGGACTTGGCACTTGGCCTTGTTGAACCTCATACTATTGGCCTTGATCCATCGATTCAGCCTATCCAGATCCTACTGTACAGCCTTCCTACCCTCCAGCAGATCAACACTCCCACCCAGCTTGGTGTCATCTGCAAACTTACTGAGGGTGCACTCGATCCCCTCGTCCAGATAATTGATAAAGATATTAAGCAGGACTGGCCCCAGTACTGAGCCTTGGGGAACCCCACTAATGACCATCTGATAACTGGAGGTAACTCCATTTACCACCTCTCTCTGGGCCCAGCAAGCCAGCCAGTTTTTAATTCAGTGAAGACTGCACATATCCAAGTCAAGGGCTGCTAGCTTTTCCAGGAGAGGTCTTAAATAAGGAAGGAAGAAAAAAAGTGCACGGTTATCGTCTCAGCCTGAGAAATGTGGAACTTGGTATGAAAATGCAGAGCTAAACAGTGATGTGGCAGTACATGGGTTGGTTTTCGTAGTTTAGAGCTGTTGGTAGGTTATGTCCTACCAACATAGGATTGTTCAGAATTTTCAGCAATTCTGGGAGAGAATATGTGATGCCTGTGTCCTAAAGATAGTGGTTGAAATCTGGTGGTGGAAAAGTTAGATCTACATAATGTTTATGGATTAATTGCTTGTTCCAATGTACTGCATACTTTCCCCTCTTGCACGACAAGTCCTTGTTTAATCAAGGGTTCCCTGACTCTTCTAACTACTCTGTCAGACTAAGAAAATCCTTTTTCTGCAAAGCTGTAACAGCAGTCAGATCTGTGGTGGTTAGAAAATTTTTAAATAGTGTTTGTTGTTTAGCATGTAGCAGAGGTCACTATGGTGGATCCATCTCGTACATGAAAGCAAACGCTGACATGCTAAGTACATTCCACATCTGTATCCACCCACTCAGTACAGATGCTTCCCTCTTCCCACGCCAGTTTCCAAAACAGTTCATCTGGGAGAAGGAAACAGATGATCTTACGCTGCCACCTAATGGTAAACATCAACTTGCTATCATGACATAGGAAAAGACTTTCTGGAGACTGAGATGTTTATTTTTAAAGGGCTTGTGTGGAAGTGCTGTAAAGTTCATCATTGAATGGGATGGGCTTGTGGAAACTTGAACAGAGCGATGCATGCAGAAAAATTGTGAAAGCTGTAGAAGAGAGTTGCAGTATATATTCCTAGCTTTATGACATTAAAAAATAAAGTAGCACTTAACTGCTTGTTAAGCTGATGCATCACTTGCAGCCACCAGCCTAAAAGCTCTTAGTAGACTTCTCTTACCACATTCTGTCAGTTGTCAAATATGATTGCCACTTTCTTTTTATATTTCTAATGAACCTAGTGCTACTAGGTAGGAATTGCCAGAGCATATCCTTGTCTTGTTGCTGTTGGAGAGACCTGTGTTAACACCTTCTGATTTGTTGTGTTTAGTCTACAACAGTGTCCCTTATACTGGTCTTCTTGCACGCATTATTAACACAGTACAGCTGATACAAAGCCAGCTTCAAGGAGTCTGACTGGTACCAGACAGAGGGGGGAGTGTACAGCAGCTCTAGCTGGAGCTTGTTTATGCTGGTCGCTGTTCAGAATCTGTTTATTTAAAGTTGGTTACTCCTTTTGACCTGTCAACTCCTGTGGAATTGAGGTTTAAGTTACCTTTTGGTGGCCGTATTCTGTTTTCGGACCTACCTTTAGTCTGCAAATATTGTCACATATGCTGAAAAGCACACTATGAGATTCTGAAATTCTAGAAGTGAAATAATTTGTACAGAAAAATTACAACTTGCTAAACTGTGTTCATAGTCAGGCTCTGTTCATTAGTATCCATTGCATCCTCTTGCTCTTACTTGATTGTGACTGCTTTGAGGCTGTGATTTACCCATGGAGATTTCAACTAATCTTAAATCTCTGGAGAATATAAATGATCTCTATGTGCACAAGTTCTGTAAAAGCCAATATATGCTGTGTTTAGTAGGTTTATTGACTGTCAAGCTATACAGAACGTGAAGTTTGGGGTAGTGGAAGAATGGGCTCATGCGGCACAAGTGAATTGTTTGTATGCTATGTGTTTTGAATCCAAAGTAGATGTGCATGACCTTTACATGGAAGCAAGGACCACTACGTTAATGCTATATGACTGCATTAGATGTACACAAAATTGGTTTGAGGGAAGTGGAAGTGGCTTGAAATCAAATGTAGTTTTATTATACTTCTCATTAATATCACCAGTATGCAAAACCTCATTTTCTTTCATATTTAAAATTGTTGCTGAGGGATGAATAAGACTATTTTAAAATGTTGACTATAGGTCTAATATGAGATCTGATTCTGTTTTAGATAAAATAGTGTGCCTAGCAGAAAGTCCTACTATATAAATCCAATACGTGTACCTTTGCTGAAATTGTAAAGGTAGCAAAGTACTTAGAGTTGTCAAGGATCGCAAACTTCACTCTTTTTTGGAGGTTTTCTGGATTCAGTTTGTGGCTCCCAGTTTCTTTTACATGATTACTCTTTAATAATGATGAAGTATCCAGAGTTGCTTCCTGAAGGGATTCTTGTATAATGAGCAAATCAACAGAAAAATGATCAATAGTTTAATTGCATGTCAGCATGGTGTAAGCTTTTGTTACTAGTTCATCTTCACCCTGTAATTCTGAAAAGAGTAAAATAGAAATACTTTCTCAACTCACATATGGGCTTGTTTATGAGTAAACAGTAAGCAAGTTTTCATGAAAACAACTTCCAAAAACTGACTTATTTAATTTACTACTGGAAGTTAATGAAACAAACTTGTGTGTATGTGGAGTCAGCCAGTCTCTTTTTAGATGCATCTGGCCAGACATTCTAGAAATACGGTTGCTTTCAGTTTGAGCATTTTAGCGAGCAGTTTGTTGTGAAGACAGCTGTAGCAAGTCATTCCAAGCTCCCCATATCTGTTAGTGGAAAAACTACTGGTAAAATTTATGATAAAAATAAGGATACTATACCATGGAGTATAACGTATTGTTAACATACCTCACACATTCACATTCATGTTTCTACTCTGTTGTGACTATGTCTGAAATATGTCTGCACAGATAAAAGCGTTGTTAATTTATGGTTCTACACAAATGCATCTGCTGGAAGAAAGCTCCTAATAACTTTTCAAGACAGTCAAACATCAAATTGCAAAAATCCCTTCGTTAATATACCATTGCCTTTGGGCAAGATTCATTTGCAGGAATTGATTACGTGTCTAGCTTGATCTTTCTCAAGATAAATATATATATAAATATATATATATAAATAGGACGTTTTTTTCCCCTAGGAATTGTATAGTTCACATCTTATAAATTTGCAATAATAAGTAGCATTTGTTAATGGTATATTTGAATGTGTGTGCTTTTTGTCTTATATCAGTTTCTTTTGGTTTCTGGGAACATACATGGAAGTTCTGAAAAACATGAGCAAAATTCTGCTTCTGTACTGAGTACATCCACTTTAAGTAGAGTTTGCACAGAATGTCTGAGTCTCTCCTCAGATAATTCAGATTTATTTTCTTGCTTTTGTTTTTTTAGCATTAAAAACTGTAGTTGTCCAAAAAGATGCTACCATATGTGGATCTAATATAAATACTTTTATGTACAGCTGTACCTTGTATCACATATGAAGTACTATCCTTGAAGGTCATGTGCCTGCTGGGCACTTTTGACTATTTTGAGTGAAAAATAAGATATTTTAAATTTTCTTCAAATGAAGAATAAATTGAAACTTTCTTCTCCTTCTTACATAAATCAGCATTTTCTGCTTACTGTCATTCATGAAATTTAAGGTCATTGGAAATAATCATGCTACTTAAGTTTTTAAGTTTTGTTTTAACATTATCACTTTTTCGTTGAACACAGAGAAATGTTGAGACCCTCATTTTTAGTTGCTACATTTGTTTCTCACACTATTTCCCCTGTATCTCTACTTTTCATATCTGTCATCACTTTTCCTTGCATCTCATTAGATTTTTTTTTTCTGGTTTTTAAAAAGTGTTGTTTCATGCCCCTGCTGTAATCAGGTGCTACTGATGAAAGACTTCTGTGCCATGTCATTATGTACGTAATTCCTTTGTACCTGCTTGTGCTAATGGCCATTTTGATATGAAAAGAAACTTCCAGAAAACAGCTCTTCCTCTATATAATTGCACTTTTTATTGTGCCTGCCTTTAGATTTGTTTCACTTAATCTGCTGTTTGCTTTTTGTAATAGAAACGATTTTAACTATCTTGAAACATGTTTAGATTACAGAAAAACTTAAACTAATAAATTGCTGCTTTCGTGTCCATATAAATAGCTTTTCATACGTGTTAAATGTAATTCTAATAACTGACTCTGGGTTCCTGCTGCCACCAAGTTTTCTCTCAAATGCAAAGTGTGACAGATTCGCCTTTGCATACAGTATGCTTTGCATAGCAAAGTTCACCTAAGTTGTGAGCATCAGAGAGGGATTTTATTGACTTTTGAGTTAAATGTTGTGATCTAAAAATGACACAGTGAATTTTTAGAATAGATAAGAATATTTCAGTTGGAAGGGACATAAGTCCATCTAGTCCAACTGACTGACCAGTTCAGGGCTGACCAAAAGTAAACTTGTTTGCCACAATTAGTTTCTGAAGATGGGGTGCAGCTGGTGGTAAAGAATAAAGGGGGGAGTGCACCTAGTGATGTATTGCCAGTGCATGGTGGAATGAATATGACCAAGTGCTGAGTGTGTGTCTGGACTGAGGGATGAAGATTGTCATGTTCTCATCAAAAACTGCTTTAAATATTTTTATTACATAGTCTTAAAATAACTGGAATACATGTTCCATATGAGTATCGTAGAAACTCTTGGTAGTTTTAAAAATACTGGTGTAGAGAATCTGTTTTCACAAGGAATTGGCTCACATGCTTTCGTTATGCATTTGTAAGACAATAAAAACTAACAAAACATGCTGGCTGTCACTTGGGTTATGCCTGTTTTTCTTGTGTTTTGTGTGCTATGAACAGACAGATCAGTGTATTCTGTTTTGCAAGATAATTATTTTAACTCAGGATTTATTTCAGTGTTTGTGTATAGTGGAGATATGTTCTGTCTCCATTCACGTTTCTCTGACTTCTGCTGTACAGGGATCAATAGACAATGATGGTGTGAGATCACTTGCAAGCTCTTAACCTGTTGATGTCCTGCCATTTTAAAGTTAAAATAGAAGCGTTTTGTACAGAGCACATTTCTGTCATATGTGTAATGGTAAAATCAAAATGGTAAAATTCATTTTACTTAGATTAGATTTCAGTCTTTCCTCGTCACGCTACATGTGTCTGTAATAGCAGATTTAATTTCATGGTGAGATACAAGTTTATATTTCCATCTTACAGGAAAATGATTTGGGTCTTATGTTTTTGTTGGGGTTTTTTATGTGACTTTTAATTGTAAACTGTTCACAAGACTATGGCTCAGTGAAGAAATGAATATTCATTTTTCAGGGGCAGATTTCCTCAAAAAGATTTGGAGTCACTGTTTCCTGGGATGAGTGCTGATTTCACAAGTGAAAACTTTTCTGCTGCCTGGTACCTGATTGAGAATCACTCAACAACAAGGTTTGTTGCTATCATATAAGTAATTGCTTTAAATGCAGGTCACTTGATGGTATTTCATTATACAGTATTGTGTCATTGGTGGTTTGCATTTACAGTAATAGACCTGTAGTCACTACTGTCTCTGCTCGACTGCAAACTTGAATCAACTGATTTGTTCAATGTGCTTCTGAAAAAAACTTCATTTTGAACACCACCTAATTTGTGGTGGTGTTTTTATCCCCCACACCAGCCCCCCATGTCAGCTGGAAGCTATCTTTCTTCAGACAAAAGCCCTTTATGAATCAAGAAGCTAGGCACCTAGCCTAGAGTGGAAACTCCAGGTGTTAAGTCATGACTAGAGGCACCGAGTAAGGGCACTTGAACAGATGACTAAAATTGTTACTAGTATCAATTAGTGTTTAGTTAAAAGGTAACACTTGTGGAAAATGCTAAAGTAATGAGTGTTGGACAAGTGAGTAGGAACTTTGAAGTAAATCTGTTAAAATCTTGACCATTAAATCTTAATTTTTAAATATAGTTCATAATATGTACTTACATGGATGCATTACATAAATATACTTTTGCATACCTAACTGAGTTTGGAAACTTTGATCTGCTGGTGTTTGGACAATACTGGAAGACATTTTTAATAGAGAGGATGAGCCTTTTTTGTGAGTTTTTTTCTTTTTTAGCTGAGTATTCTGATTAGCATTTTAAAAGGAAATACCACTTTTCAAATTTATTTAACATACTTTTTTTCTATCTAATGGTAGATAGACCGTTACCTATCTGGGATTAGGGAGATGTTTGGCTTTAGGAGCTCCAGAAATAACCATTAGTCTACTTGGGAAATAATTGAATTTCCTCTCAAAATGATGGCACATTGAAGGGCTAGAACAACAGCTAGAGAACATTATTACCTAGTATGCATGTAGTGACAGCATCTTTTGAAATCAAGTAACTAAGAGGAGTGATTAAAAATTTATTCTATCTGTCAGAATCTGATAACTTTAGGGATCACCAAGTTTTTAAAAAAGCTGAGGGGATAATAAAGTGAGAAAGAACTGAGAGTGAGAACACATTTGATGTAGTTGTTCTTACAAAAATTCTTTACATTTGACACTTGGACTGTTGCTATTTTGTTGCTCATTCATGTGGGCACCAGTGACACTGCCAGGAGAGATGTAGAACAGATCAAGAGTAGTTGCAGAGCCCTGGGGACAAAAGTGAAGAGCACATGAGCTGTTGAAGGGGAAAGCTTCGGGTAATAGGGGATGCATCCTGTAGATTCACAAATGGCTGTACCACTGGTTTCAAAGGCAGCCTTTTTTTACTGCTGTAACCAGCTCCGTGACCAAAGAGCAAAGCCTGCTAGTGAGAAATGGGGTTCATTTGAAGAAGTGGGACAGGAGCATCTTTGCCGGTGGGTTTGCACTTTGGTGGCAAAGACTTCAAATTCAGAATATCAGGGGATGCTGATAACTGCTTGCAATTAAATGAAAGGGACAGAGTGCTACCTGTGTGGTTCAGTGATGGCATTGAGAGTGCTGTTGGTAGTTACAAAACCAGTTGGAAGCATCTAACCTCAAGTGTCTTTACACACTCACATGCTGCCCGGGAAACAAGTATGAGGAGACGGAGCTCCACAGGTGGGATTAGACAAACATATCACTGGAATAAAGTAGGATAGCTCATGTGCCTGGTATTCTATGGTGGATGGGAAGAGGCCACCTGAGAAAGATAACCAGGAAAGAGCATAGGGACTTGACCTTCATATAAAGGAACAGCTTCAATAAATACATAGTCCCTCTTATGGAACAGGATGGTTGAGAGCTTGTTTGGGAGGCTGGAAGGGGTGACATTACAGTGGGATAAGGAAATGAACAGAAGTTTTCCTTAAGCAACTTGAGGAAGTTTCCAGAGAGCAGACCCTATTTTGTGTAGAAGACTTTAAGGTCCCTCATATTTATAAGAGGGGAAGCAATCCTAGAGGCTTGTGGAGAGTTCTGGGAATGACTTCTAACTTAGCTGTTAAATGGGCAGTCAGGGGTGCTACTTTCCTAAATCTGATTCTTGAAGGCAAGGCAGGGGACGTGATAACCAGTGACAGCCTTGGCTGTAGCAATTGTGAGATAGTGAACTACAAGACTCAAAGAGGTGTGAGGAAGGCAACAGCAGAGTACACACCTGGGATTGGACAACAGCCATACAAAATAAAATCCAGTGTTAGTAACATGCCATTAAATACCAGTTGACTGTCTAATGCAAATCATCTTCTGGGGTGTATCAGCAAGAATGTGTTAGGTAAGATATGGGAGTAATTATTCTGTTTGGCATTATTAAAACTGCAGTTGAAATGGTCTACTCAGCTATGGCCACTGCTTTAAGAAAGATATGAGCTGAGCCACAGGCACAAGAGTATATAAATGTTGGTGGCTATACAGCTTGAATGAGTTAGGTGCTTTTAGAAAAGAAAAGAAAAATCTAAGACTTTGTCTAGTATCAGCTTAAGTACTTCATCTTTCTCGCTGAAAAAAAATTTCATCAATTTGTGTCTTTGCATGTCAACAGTTTCAAGTCATGGTCCCATCAGTCCAGTGGAATAGAAAGTGTTAATTTTTGCTGTTAAATGAAGCAAATGGGTTTTTTGCATATTAATTCAGTTTATATTGATTTATAAAATCCAAGTCTTAGTGTTGAAGGTGCAAAAGGTGTGTGAAACTCAACTGGAATAAATGCTCAAAGGGTACAGTGGATCTAGTCATATTTTGAATCTAATTATAAGTATATTTTTAAACAAAGAAGCAGCAAAAATGTTTTGGTTGGTGTTTTTCTCTTCCCACTTCAAAATGCGTAATCTTAAAAATATTCTGGAGTTGTATAAATATCTGTCCTATATAATTTGTGCTGTTTTTCTGGAAACACAGCAATGGTTTAGTTCTTGTCCTCTGTATAACCTCAGGTATTGGGAGTGCTAAATGTGTGGTGCACTGATGTTTTGTTAGCTTATGTCTGTTTTTTCCTTGAAGAACATTCTTTTTGAGAAATCAATATAACATCTTTTTTATTATGTTTTTTTTTTACTCCTGGCAATATCCTGACAAATATAAATGAACTATTTAGACATATTGTTAGATCATCAGATAACATGGAACAGTGCTTAAGAGGAGAACTGTACATATTTTTGTTAGTTTGAAAGTGCTGCTGGTAAGTACTTTTTGTAAGCTCAAGTAGACCAATCCAGCTATTGAGTAATGTGATTTCTGTCCAGCAGATGGAAACAGGAAATAAGGCATAATATTGTGACATCAACAGTATAAAAAGAAAAATGCTTCTAGGTGCACCAGTGTGCTTTGTCTCCCAGCAGGTGGTGATAGGTTTCTTGCTGCTTGGGCTAAACTTTGGTTTGTTCTCTTAATGGTCTTTTTCTGCCAGCTCTTTTTAAAATGGGCACAGTATTGGTGGAATTGTCTTTTGTTGTAATTTCCTGCTTCATTGTTTCCCTCTCCTCACTGAGGTATAGTGTAGTTTTTTGTTTGATTCTCTTGTATTAGAGAGAGGAGTTTGACCTGCAGGTAGGTGGGAAGACCTTAGGGATGAAAATCATGTGCTACATTTGTATTTTTGAGCTTGTTCATGATGGTGTTTTTATAGTAAATCCAGTAGTATAACTATGGAGATCACATTCATCATCAAAACCAAAAAATATTATATGCAAATAATGAAATTTTCTTCACGACATAAGACTTCTCAAATAATTGCAGCTACTTGCAAAAAATGAAAATGTGAAATGAAATGTAAAGTGGTAATAATCGAGAAATATTAGGAAACTAAGGTAAAAAGAAAGCTGCCACACGAACAGTGATGATGAGTTGCAATTAATATTCCCCTATCAAGTGTCCTTCAAAAATATTTCAGTAAACTACATGTAAAAACCATACTTTCATAAAGTGGGAATGGGTTTAGCTTTTCTTTATTTCTGCACTAATGTTGCATTCAGTTCTGAACTGTATGTTCAAACCAACATAAAAATATTGAATGAACCAAAAAAGTGAAAAAGGGTTGTGCACTAAGCTGCAGAGTTAAACGGATGTCGTTATTAAAGAGGCTTCTAACATCTCAGTAGATAGTCTAGTGTACTAAATTTAGTGAATTATAGTCACCTATTTAATACAGTACAGACAGTTCATTAAGAGCAATATTGCATGTGTAGAAGAAACTTATTGACTAATTTGTATTATAAAGAGATCTCTTCCATCACAAGTGATAGGAGCCCTCCATTTAGGATTGAAACTAAAAAAACAAGATTTGTGGACTAACAATCAACTGTCATTATTTAAAAGCACACTCGTTAGCAATTACTTCGTCCGTAATAGTTGTTCTGAAAGTTACTGGTTTTATTTTCCCAGTAGTTTGTTCTGTTTATTCATTAGCTGACCTTATTTGTTGTTTGAATGTCATGGAGGTTTTCTTGTTTGTTTTCAGTTTTGATCAGCTCAAAACGGCTGTTGTGAATTTGAAGAAACAAGCCAATAAGAAAAATGAGGGGAGTCTAGCTTATGTGAAAGGAGGTCTCAGCACATTTTTTGAAGCACAAGATGCGCTGTCAGGTAAAGATGCTTTGCACTTACTAAATACAGTATTAAAGGAAAGACTATGTGCATGTATGGTTACATTTCATATGAAGAATATAGTTTTCCTTCATACTCTATGCTAAAAGTGTTAATGAGCCCAAAATCTGTGTTGTGTTACTGGAACTGGCTAGCTGATTGTTGTGGTATATTTGCAAAAGATGACATCAAATGATTCTTACAGGAATTGAAGGCATTTGATGAAACTGCTTAGACTACAAATGCAAAAAAGAGAATAAATATTGAACTGGAGATAATATAGATAATATATAAGATGACTTGAAAACTGTAGCAACAGAAAAACTAGATTTTATGATGCCTTATCCAATAGTCAGATGGTAATATTTATATGAATATTAAGTTCACTCTTACTTTGGGGAATCAGACAGCCTTTATATTATGCTTGCCATTGGGAAAATGAGGTTATCTTAGTTGCCATTTCAATATTTATATTTATTTTATACACACACACACACACACACTTTTAAAGCATAAAATGTCTCTCTGGTAAGAGCTCATTATGGGCTTCTGTAGTCCAGTCTAGTTAGGCTGGATAAGAAAGCAACAGTGTCCAGTAAACCATCCCTAATAGGTTTGTCATTTGCCACTATGCTGATTATCTCTCCTGGTCACTGATCCTGTGTTACAGGTATCATAGATATAAGACAGCTTATATGTAGGTATAGCCTCAGCCAAGCTAGCACTTCGGTTGGCTTTAGGAACACTGCTTTGGAGAAAAAGTAGTGCTGACAGACATCTGTGTTACCTTGTAAGTTTATTTTTTGGATCAGCAAATACTTAGTAGGATTTACAGAAAGCTAAGGCAAACCTTAAATGTGAGGTTTCAGAAAGACTGAACACAACTATTAAAAGTATAGGCTTTTTGCCTTTGAAGACTGATTTTCTGATAAATGAAGAGGTCCGAAAGCAAGTAGAAACTTAAAAAATATTAATAAAATAAAGATAGGGAAAGCAAATTTATTTATTTCATTAACTACTATATTATCAATTTTAAAAAATTATAATAGTTATATATTGTTTTGTATCTTTTATCTTTATCAGTGTTATTTTTACCTGAAATTGGAGTTTATCAGTGCAGTCCTTTAGCTAAATTAGGAATTTAAAATTTGGGATGACTCAAGTGGTCCTTGGTGCCACTTTTTGTCTAACCAAAATGTCTTGGTTTTGTCTTCCCCTCGGTGATTCCCCCTTAAGTGCTCAAAAGGAAGCAGACTTGTAGCTTGTGCTGTTATACAGTGAATTAAATTGGTACAACAAATGACTAGTCTTGATGCTGTTGTAAAAGAAAATTAGAGACTTAAAGCCTTAATCTCTTATAAAATTCAAAACTGTAACACTGGAGTTCAAGTGACTTATCAATACACTAATTAGTTTTTAAATTCTGAAACCAGATTCTTAATGAGCATGGAGTACAGGTCATAACTGCCTTCTGTAGCATTTTAATGCACATTTCTCTGTTGAAATTTCATATTAAATGCATGTGCCAAAGTGGTTTTGCTTCTTTTCAGTCAAAAAAACCACCCTTATTGCATATGAATTTCAGCTTGGAATGCAGAACTACTTATTTACCCTTTCTTCCTGCATATGCAAGATATTTTTGAGAGAATGTAGCTGGAAAAATTGCATAACTTTTTAAAGACTTGAACTTGTGGTAGATACAGTCAACTGTTAAGTTGGATGTGGAGAGGATTCCAGTAGAAGCAAGCAAAAGGGATGCCTTTGATGCCATCATCCAGCCCTTCTGCCAGATGTCAAAGCTTTCTCCAGAACGTTTGATCACTGCAGTTTTCTCAAATGAAAGAGGATAAGAATTAAGCATAAGCATTATTAGCATTGTTCTAGAGAAACAGCTCAGATGCAAATTTTAAAAAAACCTCAACTACAACAAAACCACCAAACTAAAAAACACAAACAAACAAAACAAATTCTTCAGCATGCAGTTATAAATTCAAGCTTTTTAACAGAAGAACATTAAATTAAAAATCCAGTTATACTGTGGCTAGACAGTGTTTGTGCACATAATGGCACTTTCCTGCCCTTACACATATAAGGGTGAATTTGTATGTCTTATTTTCTCCTTTAAAAAGATGCATACAATACAATATTTTTGAAATGCATTTTGACAAAACTATATGAGGAATAGTTGATATTTGAAAGATTGTTTCAGCACAAACTCTTCGGGATGTAACCATTGTTCTGCAAAATTAATATTTGAGGCAGAGCATACAACTGTCACAGATGAAAAGGGAATCAAAGGAAAATCATTATTAAATGTATTTATTCTGCCTTCCAATATGATTTAAATTTTCTGAACTCATTTTGGTTTGGATTTTTTTTTTAGCTTGCTTCCTTTGGGAAGATTTCTAATATCTAATTTATTTTCTAAAGATATGTTTTTCTTGAGGGCAAAAACTCAGACTCTCAATTTTCCTCTTCACGTATCTTTGAACACATCTTCTAACCCCAATGGTTATGCTTTATAAGCTGCAGATCTGTTCCATTGTTGTTACAGAATGGAGCTATCTGTAGGCAGTTATTTCTCGTAGGTTTCCCTAAATTAGTACAGGATGTTACTTTTTGTAGGAGGATCACTTTAGGAGGTATAACACTTGCTTTACCGAGTACTTCATATTCATCTATTTGCACAGGTTTTATACATGCTTTTTTTAACTCATACACATTTAACAAGGTTATTTTCAAATATATTACCTTGATCTAGGAAACCCTGAATTACTGATTATTGTGCAGCTTTTAGTTGGGACCCAGTCAGATCAGTTTGATCTTAAGCTTGCTATCAGACTGTATTACACATTTAAATGAGTATTAATATTTTCACAAATAAGCAATGGAAACCATAAAAAGCAGTCCTAAGATGTTTATTGTATTTTGTGATTTAGAAAGTGTTTACTAAGAAAATAGGAGCTCAAATAGGCCAGAACCCTTGCTTGTTTGGTTTAATTTCTGGGAAAATAGAATTGTCTTATCAGATCCTCATGTCTCTCTGCCTGTTAGCTTGGCTGACAGTTTGACAGTGACTCTGCTGCAGAGATGATGTTCAACAGGAAGTTTGTTTCATCAGCTGAAGGGAGCTGTAAACTGAGCTGAGGGGAACAGGGCTCACCTCAACTTGACCCACTTGTCAGCGTCGTGGAGTTCAGCTGATTTATTTCCTGTAATTCTAATTGCAACCTAGAAAGTGGCATTCCTGAAAGGTTGGCTGTTTATATGTTTGTAGTTAAGACATAATTTATTGTCATGAGCAAGTCATATCCCACACAGAGGTCTTTGGAAAGTTGGCAAATTAAGTTTCTTTGAATATACCTTTTCAGAAATGCTCTTTACTCTTAGGCCGTGGTTTCTTCTCATTTAAGTGAAAGGAAAAAAGTTGGGAAATGACTACTACAGTCGTTGACTTAGGCAAAAACGTGCAAGTATGACAGTTGTACTGGCAAGTAAAGTTGTCTTTGAAACATGAATATCTTGAACAAGCTTGAGGTTTAGATTTGACTCTCTAGTTTGCCACGGCAACAGTTCTTGTGCAGCTACAACTGCAAACACATTTTACACGATTTTCAGGAAAAAATCTGTAGGAAAGAAGCACTACTGGCTATTACAGCACTGTTCCTTTTTTCCTCTTCCCAGTCCTGTTCAGATGTGTGACCTATGGGAATACCTGTATGATAGGCAACTTGGACTATAGTTGGCCTTTTTTCTACTACTTTACTTAATACATAAGCTAGGATAATGTGTAGCTGAAATGATCCTAAAGCTGGTCGATGCCTGGGTTTTTGATTTGTTTTTTTTTTTCTTCCTGTAGTGTATTTTCACTTCATCCCCTAAGGCTCATTCTAAGATGAGCATGTTAATGATCCAGGATCAGATTCAGTCTGAATTAGCCTATGCTGTTGCCATTATGCCTGTTAAATTAATTTTCTCTGAAACTAAAACAAAAGAAATCACCTATTAAATTCTGAGTCAGAGTGGGAAGTTGAGAAGTTGAGAAGCTAAAAACTGAGGCTTATCTGTCATATAAATGTCCCTTTACTTCTGACTTTTGAGGAGATTTGTCATGTTTGAATTTAAAGGGAGTATATAGAGCCAATTTTTCACTAGTGATTCCGTTTGCAAACTAGACTGATGACTAGTTTTGAAGTGGTTTCCTTTTGTCTAATTAGATGTCGGTAGCACAGCATGGGTATGGTATACCAGGTTTTGCTGTTGTCACGTAGCTGTTTTGTAACAAATCTAATTCACACTTTTGCTTTACTTCACTCTCGTATATATTTTCCCAGATAGTAAGAATTTTTATTAAAAGTATGGATTTGGGTAAATCAAATTTAAAGATATGATTACTACCTAATGTTACACAGCTGACTTGAAATATCTAGAATAGCTCTCTGTCCTCTGTGTGGTATGTGTCTATTAATGTTGTCTTTCTCATCCCACTTCAAGTGACAGAATATTGTCTTTGCAGGGTAAGACCAGTCTAGCTACTATAGCTAGTAAATTTAAATATAGTCATTCATAGAGGTTAAGAAAGAACAGGGCCATGGAAACAAGCTTGCAAGGGTGAACTAAGATGCTGCATATGTCAGCCATGTATCTAAGAGCATATCAGTCACTTCAGAATAGCAGTTCCAATGCATGTATGTGCCCCGCAGTAGGTGCAAGTTAGATTATTTCAGATTAAGAATTAAGATCATGCCTCCAAGTAGTCTTGAACTAGTATCTGATGTGCTCTCAACTCACTGTCTAGCTTTCTGAGAGGATGTTCCTGTCTGAAGACTTGAGTTAGCTTTGTGCTACACTTACACTTTGTGCTGACCGAGAAGGATAAGCACTATCATTGCTTCATATTTTGTCCTTACATTTATAGACCTACTCATGTATGCACAATGAAAAAATAGGCATGCTAAATTAAATTAAGTCTGTTTGTTGAAAACTTACATTCTGATCTT